CACAAAACTTATGAATATTTCGATTATGGTAACTTCAAAGTCAGATTCCCAAAGAAGAGCCCGGAAGCCTCACGCTGCTCGGGGCCGAGGACACACTTCTCGGGGAGGCCGGGAGCGAAGCCGAGTTCTTCGAGTCGCTGCGCTGCCTCTGAGGCGCCGTGGGGCTTAGAGGTTAGCCCTAAGCCCTAAATTCTCAAGCCTGAAACCTAAACCCTTAACCCCCTAAATTACTAAAACCTTAACCCTTAACACCTTGAATTGCTAAAACCTAAACCCTTAACCCTAAAGTAGGGCTTAGGGTATCGGGGTATCCAGGCTTTCGGGTTATGTCGGGCTTCAGGATTCCGGGCTTTAGGGCCATTGTTTTTAGGCTTCTCTAGGCTTCAGGGTTTCGAGGGGAAGTTCGGGGTTTAGGGTTAAGGGGTTTGGGTTTCTGCCTCTGAGCCAGGAGATTCAGATCGCCCTCCAGGCTCAGGAGCTTGCTGGAAGCATCGAACTTCGCGAGCTTCGCATCGTACGCAGAGGCCAGATGCTTCCGTAGGACTTGCAGGGAAGCATCCAAGAATCCGAGGAAGGCCTCTTTGTCCTCCATCCCTAGATGCAGAGTATCCGAAATAGCTTGCTATAACGTCTCAAAAGGCTGCTGGAAGTTCCAATGAAGCTGCTGCTCATTAAGTCGGTTGTCTGCTCGCCAAGGTGACTTGCGTAGTCAGTGCACGTGATGCGTTACACCCTAGCCTTGCCTGCAAGAGCACAGAAGCACATGGTCCATGCTTTGCGACTTTGGGTGCCTGTCTGTGCCCACGTCTGATACGCTCCTACAATGCAATGGCGGAAGTAAGTCAACACTACAGCCAGTCTTGATTTTTGCGCTCTGCTTTCCACATTCAGTTGTATCGTTGGGCGCCGTGCAAGCACCATGCGATCTTGTGGCCCTCTGCCCCCCGAAGCCCAGAAAATAGAATTCTGCTGAGGCTGGTCATGGGCAACCCTAAACCCTAACCGCCGTACCCTAAACCCTTCACCCAAACCCGAAACCCAAGTCGCTGACTCTCCATGCTGGGATTTCAAGGACTTCTGGCTTCGATGCCACTCATCCCTAGCAGAACAGTATCTTGTCCTTCTGTCTGGAAAGAAGATTCTGCCAGGGAGCGGGGGAGGTGCATAATTGTCATAGTATAGACTGCTACTATACTACAGGACGTGCGAGTGAATACCCTGACTAGCTGTTCCCTCCGCCCCCCCAGGGTGTATCAAACAAGGAGGGGTCGCTTTAGGGCGTTCTATGAGGTTTACGGCTTAGAGAATATCGGGGCCTTTACACTTAGAATGACAGGATGCAGCCACGTACTGTTAGCGATCCGACTGCAAAGTGCTGTGCATCTTACAGAATCTGCTGCCAGGAAGGAGCTGAGAGGGTGCAAATTTTGCTCGCCGCGCGACTCCAAGCAGAAGTTTCTAAGGCTACATAGCTGGCAAGTACCAAGTGGAGGAAAGGAGCATGTTGAAATATGCAATTGAGGTCGCCACGCATAAGGGGGCAACTAGGTACTGTAAGAAGATGGCTGTAGACATGGCATCTTTGTTCTGGCCACCTGACTCAGCCATCACTGCGACATTGTTGGCGGTCGGCGTGCAGCTGACGATCAAAGCAACCAGCCACAAGGAAGCATCCTTGGGCCCAATGCGGATTAGCCCATAGACGATGAGACTCATGCAGAGCGGCATTAAGACCAACTTGCAGAGCACGATGGCAACCCCCACCCTGATCGGAAGAGCTTCAAAGTTTGCTCCTTTGGAGAGAGCGCTGCCCAAGACAAGGAGGTTCAGAGGCACTGCTGCATCCCCAAGCTTGTAGATGCCATCATACAGCCAGGTGACATCCACCATCCATGCCCTCACCGGTGATACGCCAATGACCAAACCCAGGAGCGCAGCAATGACAGGAGGTACCAGGGCCTGTTCAAGCATGGCCCGAAACCCAAAACTGTGTCCGGCCTTCTCTGAGTCCTCGTCTTCTTTGAGCAGGTAACGGCCAACTCCCCACTGAAGGACGGGATAGAGCATTAAGTAAACTGGAAGGCGCAGAAGCGGGTCGATGCTGCCCATACTCCCAGTGGCTGGAGTGCCCAAGGAGATCACTGACAAAAGAACAATCGGCAAACCTGTTGAGTTGCCGAAGGCCACCGCACAAACGGTCCCCCGGGAGAAATCGCTGGGTGCAGACGTTAAAACTGCTGCCGTCTTTCCCAACAGCACGCCAAGCCCGACAACCACCATCGGTAGGACGAAGAGGATCCAGCTGCTCAGGATGATGCTCACAAAAGGCTGGCAAGGTGCGCACTGATTCCCACCTGTGTTGCACTGGTCGCAGTAGAGGATGCGGGAGAACAGCAGTGCCGGAATTGCGAGCTTCATGGTGATTTCCCCCATGGCCTTTCGCACCGCCAGGGTGATGATGCCCTGGCGGGTAGCCAGCACCCCTACTGCGATGACGGAAGCTGCAACACCAATTGCTTTCAAAGACGAAACGAGGATGGACAAGTGGACAAGAATCCTGCAGCAGTAGAGGAACTCTGCATTTCCATGTTGGACATGCCCTTCTTCTCAAACAGCCCATGAGGCTGCTGCGCTTGTGTTGCATGTGCCTGCTGTAACAGAGATGAGGCCGTTGCAGGTACTGGTAGTGGATCGGTGCAGTGGTCAGCATAGGCAAGGGTCACGGCAGCGATGAAGATCAAGAGCTGCATCGCTTGCGGTAAGATCAGAGCAAGATGGTATGCTCACGATTTAGTGGCAGCTTGAGCCAATCGCCACTTCCGCCCATGGGCTCGGAGCATGCAGATGTTTGTTTGGTTTAAAGACTTGCAGCCGTAACGGTCACAGGCCTGCCCGCGCCCTTTTCTTAGTGCCAAGCGCTAACAATCGGGATGAACAGGCTGATATGGACTACAGCCTTTTCCCGCAGTCCCTCGCAAGGACTCTTTGGCCCTCTCGCGAGTTCCAAGGCTCCACGACGCTTCGCGGCCTTCGGCAAGGCAGCATTCCTGCAAGGGGCTCTGTAGTTGGGTTTGGCTTGATATGAGGCTAGAGGACTTGGTTCTTGGTGGGTTTAGGTGCTTAGGGATTTGGTTTCCGTGCGTGACAGCCTCGAACAAATGCACAACACCCTTCCTGCTTAAGGCAAGCTTGCTCAAGTTCATTCGGGAATAGGCCTTCTAGAACTAAGCCCTGATGAAGCGTTCCTCTGCCGCAGACTGGCTGTTTTTCACGCCGTTGGCGACTCCATGTCCCAAAGTCCAAGAAAAGGCACCAAAAGCAACGACCCCAAACCCAAAAGGACCCAAAACCCGCAGACCCCTTTACAGGCGTGAAAGTTTCGAACGCGGTCCAGCTGCTCAGAAATCCAAAAGCGCTGAGGTGTCGATGTGCTTCGCATACCTCGCTTGAGGTTCAGGGGTAGCTATAAGTAGCTACCGGCTTCGGCATCGAGCGTTTCTGAACAGGAGCTGTAGAACCTTGCCTATGACCCTACTTACGACTTACATTGTACTCGGCTCCTTTAGGCACGATCCCCAAACTCCACCCACAGCGCCCGAACTCACGACCGCTTCTACGAAGCATAACCTAGCCAGCCAGCCAGTGAACAAGTCCGACTTACCGGCGTGTCGCATGGAGTTTTGAAGACAATAACAATGCTGATGGGCCGAGTTGATACGGGTACCACAACGAGACCCGAAGCCGAAACCCTGCATTCAGACCAGATCCGAGGCACCTTCGTACAGCACGGTCGAGGTAAAAGAGCACCTTCGCTCTCACACCGGCAGCCCAAGGCTTACTTTCCGCTCCGCCCCAACCCCCACACTCCCTACACAGCTTTTAGGAGACCTCGCGCCTCTTTCTAAACAGGGTACCCCTTGGGCCCCAACCGCCGTGCGAATCACTCCCAACAACAGGACAGGTGCCCTAAACCCTTGGACAGGTGGCCCAGTCGTAGCTCAAATATTTCCTGGCCCACCGCTCGCTCCGTTCGGCCAGTTGCTTGGCCTGGCTTGGAAGTTCGGGTGTGGCGTGAAATTGCTTCGTCAGGTTGATCCTGCTTTGTGCGGGTTTGAAAAAGCTGGACTGTCTCAAGGGGTGGGCAGATGGGCTTGCTTCCACGATGACCATGGGAAGCTTCACGACAAACGCCGCAACCATTGATCTGCAGACTTATTTGTCTTCACTCGTGCTATTGGTGTTGCATTGCGCGGGTGTGTGTATTTGCTTGCGGGGAAGTGTTGGGGCTTGAAATCAGCGATCGCAGAGGAAATTCCGACTGCTCAGACATAACAATCACCGTCATAGCCAAAGTAAGCCACAAACCAGCAGCAGCATAGGCGGCGAGTTTTCCTCGTCGTCGTCGTAATGAGAGTAGGAGAGAAAGTGTAGCACCACGGGGAGGAGCAGGAGGAGGGCAGGGATAGAAAAATACGGGTGTGAGCCGGAGTCGGCGTAAGAGCAGTAGTGGAGGGTATGAGCAAGAGTGGCAGTGAGAGTAGTAGTAAAAGTTGACATTACTCACACCTAATACCCATTGACTCATAACACTGCCTTCGCCGCACGGGCAACAAACAAGCACAGCAATAACTTGGACAAGAAACTGTGGCGTCTGAATAGACTTGGCTATGCGCTGTACTGCTCACTGGATACGGCGGTTCTATCAACGTCAAAACAGAAGCAAACACTGGACCCTGAAACCTGCCATATGCCCCTGCAAGATCAAACGCTCAGTCCTCCTCTTCCTGCTCGTGCCTTGCAGTAACGGCTAGTCTGAGGTCAGCAAGTCTAAGCTAGGATTTGGCACGTGATTCGGTGAAGTGGAGTTTGGGGCCCAGAGGGCAAAATTCATCGTTAGATGCTTAGATGCACTCAAAACCGTAAACAGCTGTAAACCGGTCAACTCTCAGGTAATGGTTTGCGTTGTAAGATGTAGGGCCTTAGAGCTGCTGGTTTTCGAGATACAAGGCACGTTTAGGTGAAGGGCCTTCCGGCCCTCAAACGCAATGTTTTTGATGAGCAAAACTGATCCAAAGATAACAAAGGCGGGATGCATCAACTGCTCTTCACCCCGAACGACAGCGGATGGACTAGGCTCGTGTGGAAGTCTTGCACATGTGCCATGATGATACTGTTTGATGTGTCGTGTGGCTTAAGATCTGTGCACAAATGCCGGAATTAACGACGCCACATGAAGCCTCAGCGTGTTTAGCAAGTCGCAATCACGATGTTACGGCGAGCGGCAGCTGGGTGCCGACCGGGTCGGGACTCAGAATTCCAAGGATGAATCTTCCAAACAGGAGGGTGGGGCGGATTCGGCTGCGAAGGGACTGCTCATATCGTCCACTTTCGCAAAAAGTCTAACTTGAAAGAAAACGCTGAAAAGCCCCTGACAGCTGCAAGGGGCTTTGTCAGGCAGCGTCACATTCCGATTGCCAACGCAATCAGAATGAATGCTATATGAGCGACCCAGGATGAGTTCGGACTTAGCACGCGGCCGGCGCGCTCTATGGCCGAGGCGCGCCAGCTGATCCCTCTGTGACTTCACCAGCTCCTCGGCCTGTGGATTGGAGAGGTGCAGCGCCTTGAGGCAGTGTGAGGCTGCGCGGAGGAACAAGAAGCAGCGCAGCATCTCCAACAAGGACACGGCCGTCGTCTTCGTGGTGACGGCAGAATGCATCAAGCTTGCACAGGTGTGCTATCAACGGTCCTCTCAGCAAAGGCGGCTTGAAAGGAGAAGTGGGCCGCCAGGGTCTTTCGGATGCTTCCCCTGTTCTCCTGGAAGCATTGCTCCGCCAGATTCTCCAGCTCACCTGATCCACCTCTCTGAGTCACGGTCTGATTGAAAATGCCTGGGGCCCAAAAGCAGCTTTAAACTCTAAACGAAGAAGAACAGGACTCTATTTTTGTTCTGTTCATCCTCCCCAGGCCCAGCCCAGGTTTGGATCTCGGGGATCGTCTGCTCATGGAGCTCAGTGCTGATGCTTGGTAGTGGGAGGTGTCCTCTCGAGAAGGTCTCTCCCTGGAGCTGCTGCAGCAACGTCTCCAGAACCTCCATGACCATCCTTTTGAGCTTCGGCAGGCTTGGGCTGTGCACTTTCGCTGGCAGCTCCACCTCTGTGATGGAGAAGCCCTTCTTCAGCACGGTGGCGGTCATGAAGATATCGATGCCGTATTTCTGAATGCTCGGAGACCACTTTACCGCCAAGAAAGCCTCGGCGGCGCGGCGACTGAACATCAAGGCGGTGCTGTGCATAGCGAGGTGCGGCAAAGTCATATGCCAATGCAAGACTGAAGCTCTTGATCAAGTCTGGCGTGATGCTCGTCACATCGGCGCCGAGGGTAAGCCCATGCATGGCATCCACCTGAAACATGTATTCGCACACCAGCCTAAGCGCTGCACCTTTTCCCTGCGCCGGCAAGGCAGTCCTCAGCACAACTTTCTGCCAATGCGTCGGGGTCCGGGCAAAGATGTCGGATGTGCCATCAAAGCTTTGGCAGTCTGCATTGAGCAGTATGCAACGGTGGTTTGAGAAGTGTCGATGGCAGCCTGCATCAGCCGCCCTGGTCACGGCCTCGATGTTGTGAGCTTCGTTCAAGCTCGGTCGGCCGATGACAATGACTGGCGCCTCCCACACATGCCGGATCCCGAACTCGAATATGGCAAGGAACAACCCGCGGCAAAGTAGCTGCTCATCTTGCCCTTCGGAAGGGGCACCAGTGGAGATGTGCTTTCTCGAGAGCCAGGGAGCCACTGTGCGAGCGCAGTTGTTCAGGGCAATGGCCGGGAACGTTGCTTGGATGGCTGAAAGCACGGTACTGTCTTTGGCGAACTGCAACATCAAGCCCCTGGTCAGCCCCTCTCCCAAGTACAAGGCAGGGAACATGATGCCATCAGCGAGAACTTGAGCGACCCCATGTGGCATCGTTTCGGCCATCTGGGAGAATCGAAACAGCGTGCCAGCCATAGCAATCACGGCCAGGACTCGTATCCATGAAACTGTGCTGGACAAACTCTTGTTGCGGAGGTATGCCGATCGGAGAGATATGTTTGCCAAGAAAGCTCCGCTCACCAAAAAGCCAATAGAATGCCAATTCCATTCGTAGGACTCTTCCTGCAGCATGGCAGTACCGACTTCCGCGCCATCCACGGTATAGCCCCGGAGGCTGCAAAGGAGGAAGCAAGAGCTCAGGAAGAGCACCTGGATTCTTCCTGAGTGCTTCTGAGGGCATGAGGACACTCCTGTCCCACCGGTCAGAAGACCACTCTTCCACAGAACTGGGACACAGCTGCCAGAGAGTGAGCAGCGACAAGACCTGCAGGCTGGCAAGAGCAGCTGGAGCTGCGCACAGGTTGTAATGATGCGAGGCCCCGAGAACACCATAGGCAAAGA